AAAGTGTAAAAGGTGTAAAAGTGGTTGTTGAAACCACATATGTATATTTTACTCCTCCCAAAAATGCTAAAAAATAAACGAGTGAGAGCGTGTTATATAGGCTATATGTCATGTTATAGCCTAGTCAGATGCGACACGCATCACCGCAGATGAGCAGCTGAGCGTCTATTCAACGTGCAAACATCGCAAATAAAAGTGAAAGTAAGTCACAGACGCAGTTAACACATCTTCAAGTAAAGAAACGAAATTATCTTACCAGGCCTGTTGCCACTCTCTCTTATTGATGTCTCTGATTTGGAAATTAGCCGATGATCAATAAAATGCCGCTCAGATCTGTTGCTTTTGGTGGCGTGCAATCCATTAAATCTGCATATAACGCAGGAGGTGAAGATCGGATTTATATCCGTTTTGCAAAAACACATTTATGTGGCCAGGTGTAAATGGAATCAGTACTTATTATCCGGATAACTTATCTGGATACAGATCGCATTTTAATACCAGATGTAAACGGGGTCTAAGCGAGCCAGAAGCGACAGTGGCAAGGAACTCACTTGACAGAATGGAGAAGAAAAAAAAAAGCTTTCTGAGAAACCAGGCTTAGTCAGGAGACCAATTCTCCTCTGGCAGAATGAAGCAATGTGGTGTCGTTTGATTCTAGGCTGCATCAAGTCAGAAGTCAGATTTTGGAATGGTATCTTTCAAAATATGCTGTATCCAGTTCTTTCTGCTTGAAGATCAGATTCATCACGCTGGTATGGAGAAGAAGCTAGCCAATGTGATCTGAACAGAGGACTTGTGGTTCTCGTGGTAGCTCAGATAGCTGTTATGTCAATGAAGTCTTCACAGGGTATTGTAGTTGACATGGTCATTTTGGTTGTGTCTAGGTGCAGGTTCACCTATGATCTGGACTGAATCCGACTGAGTTTGTTAGCCTCAGGATAAGGATGTTCTTACGACGTCACAAACACATCGGATGTTGCGGAAAGTATTCCCGGTTCCGTTTGACCGACTTTATGAAGCCCAACAATACTTAAACGGATTTGAATTTATAGAAATATAATAGTGTTTTATGTGTATGCTAGGTTAAAGAGAGTGTGTCTGCCCACCAAACAATGCTTGGAAGACTGTTCCAGAGTTTAAATAGGAAAAGGATCTACCACCTGTAGAAGATTTTGATATTCTAGGTAAAATCAACTGGCTAGAATTTTGAGATAGAAATAGACGTAAATATGTAATAGACATGCCTATGATCTTAAAATGTATGCGATATTTAATAGGGAGCCAATGCAGTGTTGACAGAACCGGGCTAATACGGTCTGTTTTGGACCAGATGGAGTTTATTTATTTAGCCTGCAGGGCAACCACCCAGTAGAGAATTATAACAATCTAGCCTTGAGGTCACTAAAATATTTTTCACGATCTGCTTTTGAAAAAATATGGTAGTATCGTGTTTGCATTCTATCAGTTCTGGCGCCTCTGTCTCAACTGTACAACGCGACGTAGCCTATACATCACACGTTAAAGGGTTAGTTCACCCAAAAATGAAAATTCTGTCAGTATTTACTCACCCTCATGTTGTTCCAACCCCGTAAGACCTTCGTTCATCTTCGGAACACAAATTAAGATATTTAAGATATTAAGATCGCTCCTGCATACAGTCCATAGGCTTCTTGAGGGACTGGCTCTTGCTGTCCTCGAAAAGTCATTAAAGACATCGTTAAAATAGTCCAAGTGACTACAGGGGCTCAATCTTAAGTTTATCAAACGACGAGAACACTTTTGTGCGCAAAAAAACAACAAAAATAATGACTTTATTTCAACTATTCGTTTATTTCTCCCTCTGCGTGAGTCAGGTTACTAGTTTAATAGCGTAAGCTTCTGTTATTGTACGTCACACGCATCACACACACATGACCAGCGTCGGCCAATAGTGAGCCTACGTGTGACGTAGCTCTACGCAATCACACTACGTTAACTGACTTACAGGCTCACGGAGAAGGAAGTGAATAGTTGAAATAAAGTTGTTATTTTTGTTGTTTTTTTGCGCACAAAAGTGTTCTCGTCGTTTGATAAAGGTAAAATTGAGCCCCTGTAGTCACTTGGACTATTTTAACGATGTCTTTAATGACTTTTCGGGGACAGCAAGAGCCAGTCCCTCAAGAAGCCTATGGACTAGTATGCAGGAGCGATCTTAATATCTTAAATATCTTAATTTGTGTTCCGAAGATGAACGAAGGTCTTACGGGGTTGGAACAACATGAGGGTGAGTAAATACTGACAGAATTTTCATTTTTGGGTGAACTAACCCTTTAAGCAATAGGTACGGTACACTGCAATTCACAAAAGTTCATTATTTCCATAAGCCTCGCCGGTTAAACATTAATTCATGCGCTGTTCTAACGTGCGCTTTCCTGAGCGCGCGGCATACCCCCGACGCTCACAGGCGCCTGTCAAACAGCGCCTGAATACTGGACTAAGTTATCTTTCGAGTCTTATTATGCTAATACTGTTAAATACATACAATGTTTACATAAACAGAAATGGCTATGTCTAAAGTGAAAGCAAACATTTGAGAGAAAATCTGGTGTAATATGCCTCTATATTAAACACGTCGCATGCTGGTCTAAAAGCGAAAGTAGTAATACTCGTATTTTCCGCACTATAAGGCGCACTTAAAAGCCTTTAATTTTCTCAATCCGGCCTTTTCTCAAGCCTTATAATCCGGAGTGCATTATATATGGATCAATTGCTCGCGCTCGTGTCCATCTTGATTCCCTACTTTGTCACACGGCCAGTTCAACCTCGTATAAATCAGGTTATGTGTGTCTCCCGCTCACGAGCGCTCACTCTTGTATGTATAGAACTAAATTAATGCTCTCTTAAATATTTTCTACATTCACTAAACAAGATTAGTGTTTCACTAAACAGCTTTTTATGGTTTTGTATGTTAAATTTTTAAAATGTAAGCAACTAATTTAGACTTGCAAACTAGGTGCTGGTGTGATGAGAAGTTCATGCTCGACTTTGTTTTTATGAGAGAACATTTAATTTTAAAACCTTTCTGCAGGCCATATTATTATTTAATGTACACATGAGTGGGGTCAAAAACATTTTAGTTTGAATTTTATTTTATACTTTGCATTGTGCTAAATAAATATTTGTAATTAATTTAATCTTTGAAAATTTTATATTAATTTATGCAATTGCAATGCCTTGATTTTAGTAAAGTTTGTACACAGTCATAGCCATAAATGCAATGATACTAATAATTGGCATAATTTCTTTCGGTGTTTCGGTTTTCGGTTTTTGGCCTTGGTTTCCTCTTTTTCGGTTTCGGCCAAGAATTTTCATTTCGGTGCATCCCTACTCGGCAGGGCTTGACTCATTAGACTCGGCAGGGCTTGACTCAGACTCGGAAGGGCTTGACTCAGATTTGGAAGGGCTTGACTCATTAGACTCGGCAGGAACGAACTCGTTGCGCTCACACTCCGGTTCGGCAGGCAAAACCTCCGCAATCTCTGATTTGGCAGGCATAATTTCCACTGTCTTTGATTCAGCAGGAGGTATATGGGGCGCAGACTTATCAAGACTCACGTGGACAACAGGCACAACAGCTGCGGTGCAGAGAGCAGATTCCAAGGATCTGGCATGAGGCATGGTCTTTCTGGTCGATCGCACTGATATCAGGTGAGGGTCTATTATGCTGGATATCGTCATATAAAGTCTTGTGACTAATTGGGTGGGGCTTACATGAAGCGCAGGCTCAACAAGAACGGTGAGGAGAGTGGATTCGAGGGATCCGGCGCGAGGCACTGTCCGAACAGTGTCGACACAAGGAGTTGACTGCACAGGCATGACGAAATACAAGAATGAAGGAGATGACAGTGGCAGATCCAAGTGCAACAATTTATTCAAATCTAAGACTTAGTCAAAGATAAAGAATCAGCATCAACAGATTCAGGGTTAAACAAAGGTGTGTCGATAAGCAGGCTGAAGATCAAGGGCGGGCTGCAGGCAAACGGAATCCAGAAACAGGCAGAGGGTCACTAGGCAGGCTGCAGACAATCACAGAGATACACCAAGGCAAGAGTCAAGACACAGATAGGCAAGGAAAACCAGGAATGCTCAGACATGCACAAAAAAGGGAAACAATCCTTCACAAACAGACGCCAGGTTAAAAAAGCCAGATATAGGTTAACTAATCAGAAGAGTTGAATCAGAACAGGTGATAGTCAATCAGCAATCAATCAGCAGCAGTCCTACATACTAGGAAGCAATCGAGTCCATAAACATGCAAAAGGGGGCACTAAAACTGGAGTAAGGATATCCCAGAAGGGCTGGCTACCGTAACAGGGGTATGGTACGACTGTTTGATTGACGCATTTTCTGTCCAATGATTCTAGGTGGTCTTGGAGATGATTGGCTGGAGTTTTTCGAGTCCTGCTTGTTCCACAGATGATTTCCATTACACGAGAGTAGATGTTAAAACTTCATACTGATTTATACTTGGCTTTCGCCAAGATAAGCTAAGACTTAGCTTTACAGTAAACTATGCTTCTCCATCCATTTACACTTCTTTCCATATAGTGGTGTAGGGCTGCACGATTATGACCAAAATCATAATTGTCGATTATTCCTTTGGAATTGTAATTGTGATTATACGATTATCATAATTTACATTGACTGATGTTTTAAATAGCTTTATACCATGTTTAAAGCAACTTCATGCCATATTTTTATGTAAAAATAAAAAAACTGAAAATCTGAAATTACTCTTCCTGAAAAACTTTTATTGCTTTTCTCATTACCACAAATGTAAACGATACATTGGATTGGTTTCTTTAAATAAAAAAAGTACAAATATGCAATTGTATGCATAATATATGTAACCAGGTCAGGAATAGCCTGGTATTTGATTAATTTCCCTGGTGATTTGCCCTTATGTTTCCTTTGACTCAGCTGCGCGCGCTGTCCCCTTTAAGAGTGTGCGCATGCGCAGATAAGAGAGAGCACGTCAGACTGAAAGAGAGCGCAGTTTGACAGTCACACAGAGGGAGATATAGTCGATTAAACTGTTAAGGAAAGAACATTTCCAGTTTAATATTGACTTGTGAATCTGTGGTGACAGTCGTGTGGTAGTGTGGAGTCTATGGTTGATTTGGTTGCTTATACGAGTGTGGTGTTCCTGCACGTGAGAGATCTTCCGTGGGGGAAGGGAATTCAGAGACGTCGAGGAAGATTGAGCGTGAGTTAATCTGTAATGTTACAAAAAGTTGTTGAAATGTTAAATAACACTGTTTATTTCGTATATTAATGTAACATTGAGTAATTATTGTTCTCTATGCCGTGTTAGAGGGGAGAACAGCCACACGTGATATTGCACGTGCTCCAGCTACTACATGAGCTTTTTCTGTGTGCTTCAAAGTCTCAATAAGAGTGAGTTTGATAATTTTCTTCTCCTAAAGTGTTTATGTATAATTTATAAGAATATGTGTACTTTTGTTCAAATGTATACTATTTTCTTACTGTTTGATTTCAATAGAAGGGTTCAAACTGTGGATTGTAATGTATTCATGAGGTGAAATGTGCAGATTTCTCATCTATGCTGTTTTATTTCTTTATTTAGGCACATACAGGCCACTACCGTTGTTTTTGGCACTCATTTTATTTGTTTTTTCGAGATTATCAATGTAAAAAAACATCTTTTCTAGCTGTTTTGTAAGGATCTTATTAATTTGTTTTCTGCACTCATTAGAGTCAGTTTTGACAGTTAATTTTGTTTTGCCAATTTCACTTTTTGGAATGTTTTTATAAAACTGCTTTTCTCCTGAACAAAAATATACATTAATGCTGTGTCTCTTTTGAGGCTCAGTCAGGAATTAAAGAACCCCTTTTTTTCTTTAGATGCTATGGCTGTCTTATTTCCTGATATAACATTTGAACGGCTACATCTAATTGTTATACTAAAACTAAAATTAAAACAATGGCAAAACTCAAGATAACCTGTAGAAAAAAGAAAAAAAACTGTGATTGCCTTATCAAGTATTTTGGCCCAGAACACAAGCCATAAAAAATACTTCAAGTTTTCAGGAATGACCAACACATCAGGTTAGGATTTTAAAGATTTCAGGAATGAACAACAACATCAAGTTAGGATTTCAAAGATTTTTGGCAAGGAACACAAGCCTGTCCACACTTTCAGGGATGCACGCAAACAATTTACAATGTTTCCTCCAGTGCTGAACACTCTTTCCGAGGGAGAGCTTGTGGCAGAAATGCACAAATACTTTTGTGCCAACTTGGATAGTGCTGGGAATTGTTTTGCATGTTCCTTCCACCAGACCAAAGGATCCTCTTCACTATCATGAGAAGCAGAGAGAAAATAAGACTGTAGCTCAGCAGTAATGGTCATGTCTTAGACATTGGAGAGAGATGGCGATGCTGGCCTCTGGTCCTCATCAACTTTAAAGAAGCTGCCCAGTGTTTTTTTGGTCTTCTTTAGTGCTGGTGCAATGGGTGCATTTTGGTCATCTGCTGCTTCCACTCTTACAGTCACAGATGGTGGAGGCTTTTAATTAAACAAAGTAAAAAATGTAGTTTAACTAATAAAATATAATGTTGTACTCTAGAATAGTAAGGACTATTTATTCATTTTAAATAAATACTGAGAATGAAACAAGATTATTACCTTTACTGTAGATACTGATGCCATTTCAGTTCTCAAACGAATCTTGACAGCTTCAACTCTGTTTTCATTGATGTACTTGAGCTTGAATCTGGGATCAACTGCAGAAGCCATGTCAAGCAACTCTTGAGTCAGTGGATCATCAAATTTCTCATTCAGGTAGTCCAGGATTTTTTTCTTGATGCATTTTGACAGTTCTGTTTCTCCGTCTTTTTCTGCCAAGATTTTGTTGTTGAACAAATGAAGAACAGGCTTAACATATATTTATAAAATTATATTAATACAGTATATGTAAAACACTGAAGTTGTTGCATGCTAAACTGTTCAATCACTGAATGCATTATAATCCAGGTATGGATAAAAAAAAAAAAAAAAACTGGTCTATATATTATTAGCCATGTGTTTCGAGATTGCCCAAAATGTCCGAGATTCGGCTTTCGCGTTCTACAGTCGCCATTCATTATGTTTACTGTGGTGAGCAGGATGCAAGGGGGTAATCCATCGACTGGAAGTTGAAGCCTCGCGGGAGCTGCCATCTTGTAGCAGAACTTCACTTGCGTTAGCATTTCCATTGACTCCCATTCATTTTGGCATCACTTTGACAGCGAATAACTTTACATCTGAGGCGTTTGAAGACTCCATTTGTCCTTTATTTATTTCTAAAGAAACACGACAATATATAAAATGCTCCATTACCTTGTAGCTTATGTTATGGCCCCGTAGAAGCAGTTTTAAAGAAAGTAGGCTAACGATTGCGTCATACCCACGCGACTCTCTGTCGCACAGTAGCGAGATTACCGTATGGACAGGAGAAGAAGCATAATAAATAGTAAATAAATAATTAATCAGAATACCTAGCAGAATTGTCTCATTCTCCTAGCTTATAGACAGCTCCTATGCACACTCTCCGCCTCTGCGTGTTTCGGAAGGGAATGATTCAGATTTCTCATGCCACAGCACTAGAAGACAGACGGGTTGCTCTCGTCACATTACGTAGTCAAGCTCTGTTTGAGTCTGCGCGTCAGGGACGGAAGTGCTAAAAAATCGCCAAAAACGGGCTTCAATTGTCTCAATGGAGTTCCAATGAGATCGCTCTGTCCATTTCTTTTACTGTCTATGGCAGGATGAGTGAGGGCCACGGGAAAACGCACCGGTCTCGTATCTCTTACGAAGGAGCAGGGGCGGTTCGAGGGTGAGTGGTTTCAACTATGACTGGTACTTTGGTACTTGGTACAAAATAGTACTTTCTTTTTTATTCTGTCTTATTTTTGAAGGTATTACCCCAATCAGAGGAATTCCAACAGGTTCTGCCACTTTTATACCAATATTTTTATGCTAGCATCTCAACTGGAAAAAAGAAATAAATAAGCCTTGTGATTTTTAAGGATTCCTCAGACACATTTTCTATATTTATAAGGGTCATAACCAGAAATTCATGTGATGCTTAAATAGATTTCCAATTCTGAGTCATTATTAATTGTGATATTGCACCCCATTATGAATATAAAACTGTAATTAATGACTAATGGAGATTAAGTTAGCCACTTTCAGATGTCATTTTGATTCATTGCGATTCATAGAATCCAATGTAAATGTTTCGAGAGCCAAAGATATACCCACAGGCTCATTAGAGCTTTCTGATTTACCCTGGCTGCACACTTTGACCAGAAGATTAAAGAAAAGAAAATTTATCCCATCCAAGAAAATCAATTATTTGTAAAAGTATAGAGGTATTCGTATTAGTGATGGGACAGTTGAAACGGAGGCTCCGATGCTCCGACACCATTTTAAAAGCACTATTGTATCACAAACTGTGTGTGTGGTTGCGTGTGTGTGTGTGTCATTTGGGATTCAGTTGAATACTTTTGAGTCAACTGTAACCTGTAACACCATAGAGAAAATGAATGCACCTCACACCTCTATTGGATATAATCATGTTTTATTGCTGGGGTCCCAGAGAACCTGAACAGAACAGGATTAAACAGCTCATTCAAAATATTTTTTCAACTACTCATGTCAATTATTAATAATTATCACAAACTTTTATATTTCTTATAATTGATCAATATGTAACTCTGTTGACCAGGCTACACATGACATGAGTTTTGGTCTCATTGGCACAAATTAATTTAGTGTTTGGGGAGTAACGTTTTACATGTAATGGAGTTAGGTAACTTAATTACTTAACATGTAACTGTAATCTATTACAGTTACTGTGGGGGAAAAAAAATTGAAATTAAATTAGTTAACCGAAAATGTTAATGGTTATGAAGGGATTACATCTGAATATTTTCTGTAAAAAGTTTATTAATATGCCGCTTTGCCACCATGGCGAGTGATAAAAATGCATTCTAGTACTGGAAATTTAAAAACCATTTCTTCCAGAAATCGTCTCAGGTTTCTTGACTGTAATCCTGTTCCCTAAAAAGAAGTAAAGAGATGATGCGCTTGATTTAAAAGCATTACGGGAAAGAACATCTTCGTTTCACCAGTTGTGAACACGTGTGGCAAACACGCCAAAGAATTTGGCTTTAAAGGGATAGTTCACTTTGAAATTAATTTTTGATATGTTTTAGCTTACCTCAAGGGCATCCAAGATGTAGGTGTCTTTGTTTCCACAGTATTTTCAATTTTGACATTTTTCAGTCAACCTGTTGTTGTCTATCAGTCATACACTGGATGCTAAGGGGGTCCACCAAAAAGCATGTACAGAGAAGTCGAAATTAAACATGATTTAATGACTCCTAAATGTAAGTACACATTGATGGCCTAAGACACGAAACGAGCGGTTTGTGTGAGAAAACGAACAGTATTTATATCAGTTTTATATACTAGGAAGGAAGACCGGACGGATGTCTACTGAGGCTCCTGGAATTGAGCTTGACACATAACGATTTCGAGTTTAATGGCCAATATTTCCTCCAAATCAAATGGACAGCTATGGGCAAGAAGTTTGCTCCGGCTTATGCCAACATTTATATGGCTGAATGGGAGGAGTCCGTTTTTCCAAAATGTAAATCTCTGCCTGTTCAGTATTTTCGCTATCTAGACGATATATATGGGGAGTATGGGAGGGGACAGAGGACGACTAGTTGGAGTTTGTTGGGATTCTTAATTCACATCATTCTTCCATCCGAGTGAAATGGACACTGAAGTCGGATGAGATCGATTTCCTGGATACCACAACATATAAAGGTCCAGAATTCGTAAACACCAGGAGGCTGGATACTAAGGTGTTTTTTAAACCCACAGATACCCACGCACTTCTGCATTGGCACAGTCATCACGACCGTCACGTTTTTAGAGGGATTGTTAAAGCTCAGCTCCTGAGATTCCGGAGGATTTGCACCGGGGAAGTGGAATAGAAGCGACTAAAGTTTTGATGGAGGCCCTTAGAAGAAGGAGTTACTCTCAGGGTTTCCTGAGGAAAGTAGTAAAAGAGGAGAGAGAGATGAGTGAGAGAATGACCAATACCCTGCACAAAAGAATTATTACAGTCGTTTTACGATATTCGCAAACAGCTAAAGGTTTAGCGGCAGGACCCTGAAAAATTTTTGAAGAACTATCACAAGAAGAGACATTAGGCAGCAGGTATAGGATGGTGGCAGCCTACAAGAGGGGTAAAAACTTGGAGGATTTTTTGGTTCACAGTAAGATGGGTCCAATAAGTGGGATATCTCCAAGTAAGACCCAGGCTACCTTTGTGAGAGGGAGGAAGAGGACGGTTCACAGGTTTACGCAGGCTATTCCCCTCAACCGAAAAAATTGTGTGTGTGAGATATGTGGGGGAAACTAAGAACTCTATTTTCACTAGGATGTGGGCTTACAGGTACACCGTAAGGAAAGGTACCCCGCGGAAAGGACATATAGTACCTCACTTTCGTAGACATGGGATTAAAAATCTGAAAATTACCGGACTGGAGCATAGAGCAGATTGGACCAAGGCGGATAGATTGAAGAGGGAAAGGTACTGGATTAGGAGACTGGGTACATGGTTTCCAAAGGGCCTTAATCTGAAATAATAAAAAGTGTTTATGTCGAATCAGTTGGTGAGTGGTTTCTGTGATAATTAATTGACTTTAATTTGAAGGGGACTGGGACGTGTAATTCTTAGCACATACCTAAACCTACCCCCCACAAGATAGGATTTTTCTGGATCTAATTTAATTATTCCTGTAACTGCACAGGCACTAAAACCTACCCCTTATAGGGGATGAG